GAAACGGAGATTAGAGTGATGTGGCCAGGAACCAAGGAATGCCAAAAGCTGGAAGAGACAAGGACCAGATTCTCCCTCTGAAGCCTCCAAAATGACAGAGCCTTGCTGACACTTTAATTTTAGCTCCTTAAGTCTAATTTTGGACTTCGGAGTTCCAGAATGCTAAGAGAATAAATTTGTGTTGCTTTAAGACACTGTATTTGTAATAATTTGTTACAGCAGCCATAGGAAACTGACACAAAGTCTTATAGCTTCTACCTAGCTCTCCTGGAATATTTTCTCTGGGAGTCCTGACCCACTTTAAGACTGTCATACTAGTGAGATCACATGCATCTACTATGCCCAACAGTTCCAGTTGAGCCCAGCCTTACAGCCATCTCCAACAATGTGCCAGGCAAGTGAGTGAAGCCATCTTGGACCCTGTGGCCAGCTCACCTGCCAGCTGCTTACCGAGTGATCTCCACAGATATCACATGAAACAACAAATTATTCACCCAAGTCCTGCCTATATTCCTGATCCACAAAATCATGAGATATAATGGAATGTTGTTGTCATGTATAACTCTGGATCTCAAGTTATATGTTACATGATGATTAAAGATTATTAAGTAGAAATATATCCATTTTATAATGGAAGAGAAAAATCCTATTTACATTACCTGTTTTCTAGGCAGTAATCCCTAGCTATGTAAGGCTATTCCAACATGCCCAGTAACTCTATAAAGTATTCAGAATTAAGCTTATTGGAATACATTGCCCTAATTAGGTTCTTCCCATATTGGTAAAAATAACTTGTTGTAAAAAAGCTTCATTTACTTATCCAGGCCCAAGAAATAGAAGCTCTCAGCTTATTAGGGATCTCTAACTCCTCCTGATTCTATTCATACTTCTCCTCATTCTGGTTCTTCTCCTTTTGCAGGGTCTAGTTGGGGCTACACTTTCCTTTTACTATTTCAGCCAAGGCACTGAAATATCTTTATTCACAAATCTTAATTTAGAGTACGAAATGTTTTCTTGCCTTCTTTCATATTCTCTTTGAGCAAAAGCCAAGATTATCTCCAATTCATCCCAGAGGCTAATAGTTAATGCTGCCACTTTCTTACATAAACCTATACAAAGGGCTGAGAAAAATGGGGATACTCTTGTTAAGAGTCCCTAGTGGATGGGAATTCCATAAAAAAATCTTACTTGTTTTTAAGTATTCTAAATATGGTATATGGCAAGTTCTTAAAATGAAGCTCCTCATCCTCCCTTAAGTAAATAATCGCAAAATGTGGGGAGCTACAAGATTAAAGTTTAGAATTATATGGTGTATCTATATGGATGTACATAAATGGTAAAAAAAAATTAAAACATACAATTACCATTTACACAGAGAAACAAAAAAATGCAAGCTGATTAAAATCTAACACTGATAGAAAAACTGCTCTGTTCACCTCAATATGACATCCCTTATCGCTATATGTAAAAACAATCTCATTTTAAAAACACCTTAAGTACACATTCAACAAAAAATAATCCTTAAGAAGGTCCTTTTTCCACCTCCTGGTTTTCACACCCTGTACAGTACCCTCTCACAATGTAAGAGGGCAAAAGAGGATGGACTATCTCTTCTAAGACTGGGTCATAAAAGACTGTGGCTTCTAGCTTAGGTTTCCCTCTCTCATCACTTGTTCTGGAGGAAACCAGCTCTATGTCTTGAAACACTTAGGCAGCCCTGTGGAGAGGCCCACATGGCAAGGAATTGAGACTTCTAGCCAACCCCCAGGTGAGTAGAACTTCTTAGAACTGGTTCCTCCAGCCCCAGTCAAGACTTCAGATGATGCAGCCCCAGGTAGAAGCTTGATTACAACTGCATGAGAGATCTTGAGCCAGAAATATCTCCCTAGGCTGCTCCAGAACTCCTGGTCCTCAGAAACTGTGACACAAAACATATTTATGTTAAGCCACTATGTTTTGGGGTAATCTCGTACAGCAATGTATAACTAATACAATGAGCACTGCCTAGCCTTTAAAAACCAAATTGATGTTTTTTAAAAGTCTTTTCAAATAAGTATAAATAGAAATAGTAATTACAAAAATTGGAAAACAAATTTATTTTAAAAATTGTGACTAAAATTAGAAGGCAACAGTAATAATATCAGCTTGCCAGTCCTACTTGTAAAAACAATGAACCAACAACACACCAGCAGAAGAATATGGACTGTTTCTAGAAGAACTGAGAGCCGGTTGAGCAGATAATTTGAGAACACAATATCAACTTTTTTAAAACTGGGGAGGAAATTGGTTTGTAATTTAAAAACCATGGTATCTTACTTAACTATAACAAAACATCCCACAAGGTCTGCCTTATCTATTACAAATTGTTTCTAAAGCTTTATCTTGTCACAGACTGTATCAAATGTCTACTGATAAATACATATGAAAGATAAGGGCAAATATACCAAATTTCAGCAGTAGATTCCACTTCCATTTCAAAACATGGATGATTTATTTTCCAGATCCAAAACACTTCATTAGATTATACAAAGTACACTTTCCAAGAACACGAAGATTTCCTATTATAAAAAACAGCTTTTTTAACAGAATTTATTTCATCAGAAAGTGCACTGAATACACATGTTCAGTGCATGGGTCAAATATTAAAAAGCACTTAAAAAGCAAAATAAAAGAAAAACATGGGAGGTTTTCATTTGTCTAGGGCAAAAAATTGATTTCAGAAATGGAATAAGCTGCATGCTTTCTCAACATAATAAATCCTCTTTACCTTAAATGGTTAAAGAATGAGGTAATTTACTGGTGATGATTCCAGTTACCTCCACAGAAACTATATGTATTGATACTGAAAACAATGAGGAACACTAAGACTGTACTAAAAATTAAAGCATCATCGTCAGTGTCATTTGAGTCGAAGGGCAATAATTTAGTCATCAACACTGGCAAAATTTAGTTGACTTAAACTCTGAAGATTTTTAGCTTATAAACAGGATAAGCATTTGACTACCACAGTTTCCCATATCTTTGCCTATTTATTTTGAACAAAGACTACTTAAATTACCAACTTCTCTCATACAACTTATGTATTATTAAGCTTAATTGATCCTAACTGATCTCCATTGACTGAAGTTTATATGTCCTTTCCAAACTATTTAAAACAATGTTAAATTTTAAAACATTGTCTTCTTTTGAAAAAGTACCATCCCTACCACAAAAATACTAGCATGTGCTAAAATAAAAACATATGACATAAAATTTATCCGTTTGTATCACATGACAAGCTTTTCAAGAACTGTCATAAAATCATATTAACAAGGCCCTCCAGTCTTGTAACAATGTTAATGCAGAATTTCCAAGAAATTACTTAGAAAAGGCCAAATGTATATTCAAGTAGTCATGCCCATGGAGAAAGATTTCCTAAAATTAATGCTTCTTGCATGACTGTCTTTACACTGTTTTCCAAGGAGTACATTTTCAGAATTGAACATTTTAAAACCACACACTGACTGCACACAAAGCTTACAAATATGCTAGTATTTGATTATGACTTCATATAATATCATGATTACATATTTAGTAACTGAATTGATCACGATGTTACATTTTTCCTGTAAAAGCATTGTGGATAGAGGATGTGTGGAATCACCCAATTCTATAAATTGGTCCACAATTCCCTGAATTGAGGGAGGGGAAAGCAGTTAAGAGGTACAACTAATAAAAAGTTTCTGAAGAAGTAGTTTAGAAAAACCATACTTATATGAGATAGATAATTCTTTCCTCCATTCCTGTACATAGACCAAAGAAGCACTTTCAAGTGCCTCCGGCAAATAAAATGTCTTGTTCCAAATATATGTGCTCTTAACTTTAGGAATCTATGGAATGTTTATGAACCTACCAATCTTGAGGCAGAGGACGAGGAGGACACTTGGAGGAAAAAACAAACTTTCAAAGACATCAGAATGTAATATAAAATAGTAGCAATTTATTTCGTCTGTATCGCCGTATTTAACTAGCAAAAAATATTTTAAGACTGAATGATTTGATCATTTGCTCCTTTCATCCTTTTGATTTTCTGACTTTTTAGCTTTTTCACTTGGACTCAAATTCTGACCTACCAACATTCTGCACTAGTTTTAAAAATATCCTCTTTTAACGTGTTAGCTTAAAAATAGCTTTGCTTTCACTATTCCAAATTATTTTTGAGCAGAAGTCTGCTTTTTATTGTAGAGCCACAGATTTCCAGAAAAAAAATACCTTCTTATCTACTGCATTCTTTCATTCTCTGGGGAAACCACAAAAACTGGAGTTTAACTTGGGCACCACCAAACCTGTGACGGGCTTGCAATAATGTTATCTGCAGTTGCTGGTTTGATCCACTCTCCCCATTTCCCAGGAAAATGTTTCATTCAGCTGCTTAAATGAATACAATTTAGAGGTGTGTACAAACAAGCAGCTGAGAGCTTCTCTGCCTTATGAAGCAACATCCCATCCCTTCTTTTGGACCCCCTTTCATCTTCGTTTGATAACCAGTCAAGAAAAGTTTCCGCCTGTCTCTTGGGTATGTAACACTTTGAAAGGTACGGCAAGCCACCTGCATGGCTGCAAGTTCACAAGAAAGCAAGAAGGGCTTGGGGACAGGAAGGCTGGCCCGGTGTCGGGGGTGGGGGTAGGGAGTGGAGGGGATAAGCATCAAATCTAAACAAAATCAAATCAGCATTGGTTCTGAACTGAGGCTAAGCTCCAGCTGCTGAGGCTGGGGAGCAACCAACCAAACGTTGGCCCCGGCTGCCTGGCACGATCCGCGCGCGTTCTACCTGCTCCGGGGACACTCAGGAGGCGAAAAGTTCCCCCCCTTGCACTTCCCAGGCGCAGGGCCAGGCGGCGAGTGGGGCCACGGCGAGAGTCCCTGGACGAGGGGCAGGAGGGTTCCCGGGGCGCAGGCGGGGGAGGGGAGGGGAGGGCGCCGCCCCCACCCCCGGCTCGCCCCCTCTCGCCCCTCTTACCTTGAGCGATGGCAATGGACTCGAAGCGGTGTAGCTCCTTGAGCAGGCAGCTCCTCTCGGTGGAGTGCAGGCTGTAGATGAAGTCGCGAGCGCCCTGCGCCGTGTTCAGCGCCTCCATGGGCTCCTTCTTGGGGTGGGTGCCCAGCGC